TATAACCAAATAAAAAGTTTAATTCGGTTGTGCTCTCTTGGAAGATGAATGCGAATATTTAACAAATGACTACTACTAATAATATTACAAAGCACTTCTCTTCACTAAATTGAGCACTGTCAGTCATTCGCCTGTTTATTCACAGAATAAATACTTAAAATTCCGCCCTTCTTTCAACCGTGTCCCGATGGCTTAGGGGGAACATCTTCGAAACCGGCTTGAAGCAATCAAATGTCTAGCCACACGGATGAGCTATGAATCAGCGAAACAGTCTGTCTGAGGATGATTATATATATATATATATATATATATATATATATATATATATATATATATATATATACACACACACACACACACACACACACACACACACGGAACCATCATATAGTCTGACCTGCTTTTAACGATTGAGCCACAGAGAAGCGTTAGCAAGGGTGATTTAACTGTTTTAAACTACAAATTCTTCCATGATGTTCTCTCGTGCATTCATATCTGCTCGATGCGTATCCAAATGTAAACAAATTTGTTTGCATTTGGATACACATCGAGCAGTTATGAATGTACGAGAGAAAATCATGGAGAATTGTCGTTTAAAACACTCTCTCTGTGGCTCAATATATATATATATATATATATATATATATATATATATATATATATATATATATATATATGTATGCGTATCCTTTGTCTTAGGGTTTGCGTTCGCCCCAATTTGAAAACTGCTGTTTCACTGCTGATTTCCTAGACAAGCATAAACTTCCAGAAGTTACGACCAATTCTATTTAACGTCACTTTTTTATTCTACTTTTTATGAATTTTGTACTTGTCACAGTGTGTCTATGGGCCTGAATAAATGTATTTGTGCATATATGTGCAGAGATATGTGTCCATGTGTGTACTCGTGTGTTTGTGAGTGAGAGTGCGTCTGAAATCACATCAGCCGTATCTTCCTGGTTCTACTTTAGCCTCCTCTAATGTGTCCGTTCATTTGATAAAACAAACTCATGAATAATTAATTATATCATTTTGTCACTCGATGTAAGTGTTAAACGTTCGTTGATATTTAACATCAAAGAAGTCAGACAATTCGGGTTTGACATTTTTTCCCTTTTTAACTTACTGAAATGCATTGATATAAAAATAAATCTCGCAATTCACTTCGATGTCGCGAGGAAACCGAGTTTCCTTTTAAACTGTGCACCCGTTTCGAATTCAATCAACATTTAAATACATGTTTTTTTTTAAATAAGCTGGTGATTGCAAACTAACTAATAAAAAGGTTATACAGTGATAGTTTTTCTGGCGATAGTACACTTCATCTCAATCGGATATTTTCATAGTAATTCAAAAAAGACAACGACATTTAGAAAGACTTTACTGCACTTATTTTATGACATGATATCATTATCCTCCACACACATTCTGGACATTGTTGAAGTATAAACTATTTTCTGAGAGGGAGTAACTATTGCGAGATGTGCCAGTAGGGAATAGTGATATTTTCCACGAAGCTGCACTCTTCATGAATTGTTCCTTATACACATCTAAGACTCCATGCCAAATTTAAAACTGACCGGTCGAGGTTTCGTTTGCAGCATTTGGAACTGAAATTTAGAAATTTATACATGTTGTGTTGGTGCAATGTAATATACATTGTAAAAATGTACAATGGTCATATTCAATGTTTTACATTCACTAACACTTTCAATTTTCTTATCAGGTAAACAGATCAATTTGCTATTTAGACAGTTTCTGTATTAACGAGGGCAGCCACAGACCATGCATTGTTTAACTCTGAAAGTGTCTTCAAGTAGACAAACTTCTTTTGAGAGGCGAGATGTTAAAGAACTGCTGGCGATATCAATGTCATGAAGAAATGTTTGCAGAAGTCTCAATGAATATCAAGATGGCCGCTCAGGGTTTATTTTAGAAATATGATACCTTAACTGGTTATGGCATTGTTACAAAGGATGGCAAGAGTCACGTTCTTGGAGCACATATAAATGATGCGAGAGAAAACTACCGATTGTAGAGGCAGGAAATTCCGATTACTAGTTTTGCCAATATGACGTCAGTGCATTTTGATGGCAAGAAGACCAACACTTGTGAGATGGTAAATAATGAGAAAACCAACGAATGGACCTCAAGGATGATGGTGCAAGATCGTTATGGCATCATTGTTGAGCCTGGAAATGAATAACTTACACAGGAAATCTCAAGATTGGACACGGAAAGCAGATTGCTAAAACTATTCACGAGCTTCTGGTGGAGGAAAGTCTAACACAGCAGGACATTGTATATGTTCACAGTAATGAAACCAGTTTAAATGTAGGATCAGAAAATGGGGCCATTCACCATCTTCAAATCTTACTTTGTCATCTGCTCCATTACTTCATCTGTCAGCTTCATGAAAAGGAGCTGCATTTCCACGCAGTTTTCTATCACTATAATGGTAAACCAAGTGGTGCTGAGCATTGACGTGGTCCCGTTGGAAAGCAGATCAAGGAGCCTTTGTGTGTCCAGTTCTTACATTCCAGCGAACCAGTCACATTGATTTCTCGGACCTGAATGTAGAAGTGGATAATGATATGTCCTGTGATCAGAAATACCGTTATATGAGTTGTAAAGGAGTTATTACGGATGTTGTTGATGATGACTTGGTTCCCCTTGAGATATGTCCTTCATGCCTCTCAAGGTTGGGTACTTTTTTGAGTAGAATCCTGAGGTTGTATGTAGCTACACCAAGACCCAGCCACGAGCTGAAAAGTATTGTCATTACAATTATATATTTCAGTGCTCCAATGTGGCTCGACATCAAATTTCAACCTTACGTATGACACAGCTCAAGAAACGTATTAGAATCCCTGCTATATATGAAAAACCTCAGAAGACGATAGTGAATAAGACTGTCCAGAGAAAAGCGTACTTCGCCCAGACAGATCAACGTCTTGGTATGCTTGCAAGGGAGGACGTGACTGTTAGAGTAATAGGTAACTCAACCATAAGAAAAATTATCGAGGAGAATCATCAAAGGAAAAAATGCACTGACAGATCTGATCAGCATGAAAAATACTGTTGCTGCTGTTGAAGATTTGTCAACCACACTGATGATGAGGCGGATAGTTTCGATAAAGATGGGAATGAGGATGTACCTCCTGTAGTCAACATGAGAAAATTGGTGTCTCCCAAACTAAAATGACGAGAAAAGAAACAAGACTGTATGAATGAACTCAAGACAGACACTCCTTAGATTGTTTCTCTGTCAGATCAACAGGTTACTGACATTCTTGAGACACCATTATTAGTGTTCAATTAGCCAAACTGTACTCAGGCGGTCTAACGTGGGGGGAAAAAGTAATGAGTGAAGCTTGCACTGAAATGATGGGGTGAAAAGTGGTAGATGGATATATTAGGCAAAGTTTATTTTCTATGAAAATGATGTTCAGATTCTGCCCAAAGAAAAGATTTCACTATTGATTTGTAATATTTCAATATGATGTGCCTCTTAAATATTATTGGAATTAAATTTATGTCAGCGATGTACAATTTATTATTCTCCTGACAAACAATAAATGACACCTATTTTTTGGTGTACAGTAAAAGTTGACAAATGTCGATTGCGATGTTGCAGGTAAAGTGGGCATGGAGTTTTTTCACAGGTTTTTGTTACAATCATACAAGCGATGCCTAAGAAATGCAGCTTGCAAGTAAAAAAAATGAGTCTTCTGACAATGTAATGGACTATATACGTAGCATTGAGTGGAAATATTTTTATTGCAATTTGTGTTCTTCCTGACAATAGCTGAAGCTTATTTCAGTGAATTCTATTGTATTAAAGACAACCGTCATTGTATTTGTGATGCATATGCTGATTTCTTTAGTATTTGATTTCATTATGCATAAAAATTGTCCTCGCATATAAGACAGAGCGCTTACAAACACTGATAGAGTACATTGGGTTCAGTTATACAATATTATTCAGTTTTAGACAAACACTGGAAGTGAGAAATGAATGAACGTAGCTCCTAATCAGATGTGACAGCTTAGAATACAACGGACATTTCACCAACCGACTGTTACCTTATTCGATGTGCTGTAAAACGCTTTGGCGGGAAAATTCTCTAATTAAAATCAGATAAATATGTTCGGCAATTTTTTTCACGTCAGCACCTGCGGAATTTTATTCGAAATGTACTGAAGACCTGCAAGATAAATGGAATCAAATCATTGTATGTAA